TGCACCTTGCCATTTACCAGCCAGCTTCTATAGAATTTCTGTCTTTCCCTTTCCCGTTCATCTTCTGACCTCTGCAGGGGGTCTTCGCTTGAATCGTAGCTTTGGTCTCTGTCAACACCKTCTCTCGTGGGTTGGACCGCCCTTCAAATGTTCTGCTGCATCTTTTCTCTTCATGTGACCCACAGAGTCACTTCCTGGTGGGATCGAACCAGATTTTCTCTGTCTTCCTTGCCAGTTCGGGGATGTTAGCCAGGAGGAGCAATTGAATGGGTTGTTCGGGGGAGGGAACTTGAAGAGGGAGTGCCGGAGAGCTGAAGCTCTCGCCCAGTATGCGGTTGCCTCTTTACAAAGCATCAAACAGTGCCCTACATCCTCTACCGCCCTTCGGTGCAAACTGGCCATAACTCCGAGCTGTCAGGATCTGTGGTTTTCTGTCTGATGTGCAAGCATTGATTTACCGGGGGGGCAGCATATGAGGGCATCCACTACCGGCCGTCAGATTAACCTTTTGCTGGAGCTGTTACTTAGGCTCTTGCTCGTGTCGTGTCCACCTCTGGTCTTAGATGACTTATGAACTACCCTTGAGTGAGAATTCTATGGTCTATCTATTTCCTTCGCCCCTTTATTGTATTACTTGCTGTCTTGGTTGCTATCTTGCTCCCCTATACCTTTTGCATGTCCCAGGTCTGTGCTTTTCTTCCGTATTCTTCGGTGTTGGTTGGAATGGTGGGTTTCTGTTGCTGGCCTAACGTCGGTTTAGTCTGTGGAAATGTTAATTTCGAGGGACTCCGGTATACTGTYTACTGAAGAGTCTTGCGACTGGTGTCTTGGTGGGGCTTCATCCCAAAGACGAAACACTATACTTGAGCCATGTATCAGGGCAACTTTGCCTTTTGCTAGGTAATTTTCTTCGAATTTGCATTGGTGATCCTTTGCCTTGCCTTCGTCTTCTTTCATTCTCCTTTGTACCTTGCGCCATAGGGTCCAGTACTCGGTTTCTACCTGTTGTTGGAGTAGTCCCCACGCYTCTTGCGTGTGCATTTTTTGTCCTTCTATTGTTTCTTGGCATCTTTTCCGCCATATAACCCATAGTGTAGCTTTTCTGAGTATTCTGAAGAAATTGATTTCTATTGGCTTCCGGTTTTCTGGGTTTTTGAAACCTAAGAGTAGGAGTGTGTTGTTGTTTGTGAGGGTGGTGCCTGTTACTGCATTCCATAGACTTGCTACCTTTTSCCATAGTGGTTTTATTCTGGGACAGTGTAGGAAACAGTGATATAGGTTTTCTATTTGATTCTCCCTACAGTTGGCACATATCTCTTTGAGGGGACTCCTGTCATCTTTTTTCCTTCGTGTATTTAGCCACTGGTTCAGTGGGACAGCTAGGTACAAGATTAGCCATTGTAGACTTCTAAATTTGGGCGGGTTAATAGATGCTATTTTGATCCATGGTATTGGGTCAAGTGTTTCTGGTTCTACGTCCAGGTGTCTTTTCCATCTTTCTGCTATTATTGGGTCCGGGTTCACAGAACGGCGTCTCAGCCTATAGCCTAATCTAGTTGTGTAATGTAATAGGTTGAATTTGGTGTTGATCCTTGAGGCTCCTTGCTTTATGTTCCATGSCCATTCTGCTGGGTCTACTTCAAGGTTTTCTAGTGGTATTTGGGGGCAATACAGGGTTAATTMCTCATTTTCTATAACTCTTACCTTCCTTAGATTGTCTTCCCTTACTGTAACTTGCGCTGTTGAGTTTTTGAGGATCTTGCTAAAGTCTGAACCTGGTTCTTCTATTTCATGCATAGTAAATGTGTGYCAGYTTGGATTGCCCTCTTCTCTACCCCAGTATGCTAGCGCGTGTTTCTGTTGGGGTTCAWTCAGTAAAATTGCCCAGTCTCCTGCAGACCACTGTCTGTCTTTTTTAAGTGTCACCATCCAGTCTTGTGGTATGGCTGCTATGATTTCTTGTAGATTCTGATTTAGTCTGTGGCAGCCTTTAAGCTGTTGTCTGAGTTGGTTACTTTGTTTCCAGTCTCTGGTGTTGTCGTCCCATATGTGTTTGATCTGCCATATTCCTTTTTTCTAGCCATACTCCCCATTTTGTGTCCTTAGAAGTCAGTGTAAATGGGCCTCCTTCTTTCTTGGTTATCCATTGGTTACATAATAGGGGTTGTCTTAGTATTTCTTCCTTATTGCTCGGTTTCCGGACTTTAGCTGGGAATATCTCTCTCCAGTCGCGGAGGATCCCTCTCCAGAAACACAAACGGGACTGGTTCCTTGAGTGTATTGTGTTGTGGTTTCTCCCTTTCATTGAYCATGATTTGCTCATTAACCAGAAGGTACCCTCCATGTTAGCCGGGGTGTTATATATTGGTAGTTGTTGTATCCCATCTAGGGCTAACGTTCTCCACGGTAAGCTAGGTCTCGTGATGAGCTTTAGGATCCATTTTGTTTGTAGAGCTTTTATTTGGGTTGTGGGGTCTAGTACACCCAGTCCTCCTTGCTCCTTTTTCCTCGTGACATACTGCCAAGCGACTTTGGTTATGAAGTGTTGTCTGGTAGCATCTCCTGTCCACAAATATGYTGTGGCTTTCCTTSTTAGGTTTCTCAATGTCCCGTGATCTGGTGCCCAGAAGGCTGCCACGTACCACATCATTRMGAAAATGGATGAGTTTAGTATTAGTGCTCTACCATATAGTGAGAGGTGAATTTTGCCCCAGTCGCTTAATTTGTTTGTCATCTTGGCTAGGAGGCTAGGGGACATTTCTGTCTCTGCTCCGTGTTCTGTCATCTGGATTCCTAGGACTCTTAACGGGTCTTTCGCGTCGGACCATTTCATGCCTTCTAGAGTGTTTTGAGGGAGGTCAACGCTTCCGTCCGTTAGCCACCATCCCGTCGTTTTTTGCCAATTTATTCGCATTCCAGAAGCTAGTTGAAATGCCTGCATGGCTCTGGTAAGGGCCTCGAATGAGGAGTTGGATGCTCTTACGAGTACAGTCAAATCATCTGCGAACATGATCGTGGGTGGTATGTGGTGTGGTCTGTTGGGGTCTTCCGTAGGGTTTGTGAGACGTTGTATAGATGGGTCTTTCCTGAGGAATGAGGCTATTGCTTCCATTATAAATAGGAATATGGGAGCTGCTAGTGGGTCACCTTGTCTTACAGACCTGGACATCTTGTAGAGATTGGATATGTGGCCGTTTACTTGAACTGCTCCGTGTGCATCRTTGTATAGCACTCTAACCCATTTYYTGAAGTTTGGACCCACGCCCATCTTTTCCATGCACTGCTGGAGGAAGTCCCAGTTGACTTGGTCGTAGGCTTTCTCGAAATCAAAGAAGAGGATTGCTGCATTCRGCTTTTTATCTTTAATGTATCTTACTGATTCAGYTAATGTCATTACATTGTCTAATATGAATCTGCCCGKGATGAAGCCTGTTTGATCTATATGGAAACAACTTTTGGTGATCTGTCTTATTCTGTTTGCTAGGAGCTTGGCTAAGATCTTATATGCAACAGTTAGTAATGTGATTGGTYGGTAATTTTTGATGTCTGTGGGGTCCCCTTTTTTGTATAGTAGAGTGACTATTCCAGTACTAAGGTATTTTCCTAAGCCATCGGAATCCCATGCTGATCTTATGAATTTGCAATATTCATCCCCTAGGAGTTCCCAATATTTTTGCCAAAATTCTTTCGACAGTCCGTCTTGGCCCGGGGTCTTCCCTATTTTCATTGAGTCTAAGGCTTTTTTTATTTCTACGTTTGTTATGGGAGCGTCTAGTTCCTCTGCTAGTGCCACTGGAATTGTTTTGGACAGGTGTTTGCTGAATTTTTCTCTTGCTCTTATCACTTGACCTGGAGTGGGTTGTTCTGTTTTAGAGGTATAGAGGTTTTTGTAAAAGGATTCTGCTATTGCTAGCATCTTCTTTGGGTCTGAAGTAAGGCCATGCTCACCTCTAAGTTGGTGAATGGCGGAGTTTCTTCCTCTTGTTTTGATTTTTTGGAAGAGGAACTTTGTCATTCTCTCCCCTTCTTCCCACTCTCTGACCCTTGCCCTTAGTCTCATTCCTTTTGCTTTCCATAAATTCTAGTTGCCTAGTTCTGCTCTTGCTTTGGCTAGCGAGTCCTCGTATGAAGTCTGTCCTGGGTTACTAATGAGGTTTCTTTCTGCTACTCGGACTGCTGCTTCTAATTCTTTGATGCGCCTGTTCCTTTTGTCTGCCAATTTCCTAGAGGCTAAGGATGCTGCTTTAGATAGGTTGGCTACTATGGACGGGAAGTCTGATCCTCTTTTCTCCGAGTCTATGCACGCTATAGTTATTGCTTCTTTCATTTGTTGGGTTTCTAKAAYGGAGTTGTTAATCTTRAAAAAGGAKGGGCCTTTTTGTAAACCGGGGTCAAAAAGGAAATTAATGAAGGTTGGGCTGTGATCAAGACCGTTGTTGTAAGGCATTTTGCCTATTCCTACTTTGTGGATTGTTCCTCTGAGGGATTCGGAAACTAAGAAGTAGTCTATTGCTGAGCTTGTTGTGTGTTGTGATCTGTTCCTTTTCCTGAAGGAAAATCTTAACGCTTCTGGGTGGAATGTTCTGAGGGGTTCTATTAGTTGTCTTTCCAACACGAGAGCATTCATTTCTTGAGTCTCGCTTACTGAGGCTTCTTCCCTGTCAGACCGTTGTGCTGAGATCCGGTCTTTGGCTGGATCAAGTACAGTGTTCCAGTCTCCTACTAGTATCAGGTGTTTCTTTGTGTTGCATTTGTCTGAGATAAGTTGTATGAAGTCTCCTCTCTGCGTTGAGTCATTGGGTGCGTAGACGTTTATTAATTGAAAGCTTTCYTCCTTKTATGTGAAATGRATTTCTATCCATCTTCCGTTTTYTGTGTCTGTTTTGCTCTCAATGRTGTTGATTTGGTTGGCTGCTCTTGAGTTTYCGTTCCAGAGGATGGCTGTACCTGCTGAGCCRATCCTTGGGGACGGCGCCCATTGGCTTGCTTTTACGTGTTTCAATCTTGTCTGTATTTTGTTGATCATTGTTTGATGTTCTATTGAGTTGGATAGGTGAGTTTCTTGTAGGCATATTATGTCCGKTGGRCTTCTTGAGAACCAGTTGAGGTAGTTGGTTRTGTTGYCCMATTTTTGTTCATYASTTAAGACTGTTGCTAAGCCATTGACATTCCATGACATCATTGTCAACTCAGGCTCACTCGGTTTAAGGGTGTAGTGTCTCAGTTGGCCTGGGTGTGTGGCCTGGGTTGTGTGGTTAGGTGATGTCATGGAGGGATGGCTATGACCCCAKCCTTATCTCTCTCTGTGGTGGTGACTTAGTTGGGGGAGGATCCGAAGGGCTCTGTGCTGTGGATTTTAMCTACTCGGGCCCCCACCTCCAGTGTGTGAGCCAGGTGCTCTTGGTTGTCTGCGAAGAGTCCATGTCCTTCTGCCAGCGACGCTGCAACCGCTGCTCTTTCTGCTGGGATATCTCCGCCTAGGAGGCCGTAGGGAATTGCTTGTATTACCTTCCATGGTTTCCATGTGAGATGTTCTTTGATCTTTGCATCCATTGAGTACTGTACCATGTAGGGTCTGAGGTCACAGATCATCAGATCTCCTGATGAGTCAATCCACTCCTCTCTCCAATCTTTCCATGAACCTAGAATGTGGGCGCTCATGGGGGCATCCCCTGAGATGTTGTTTGTCAGGGTCCTTTTGCTCAGTTTGGCAACTGCAATGAGGACCCATGACTTGTTAATTGCTACTTCCCAATCTCCATGATTTGTGTTCCATCTGTAGGGGATTATCGCCCTTTTCTTGCAGCCACTTTTGGCTTCGAGCTTGGCAGCTGTGAATGTTTCTGCGTTTTGTCCCCCTGCCAACTTTTGCAGATTGATTGCCATATCGGATGTTTCCCTGTTCTGATCTCTTAGCACCGTGATTTGTGCTTTGAGGATCTCCTTTTGTCTGTCAAGGTCTTCCTTCTCCTCCAGCGGCCTGTTCTCTCCATCCTCCTCGTCCCCTGTGTCCTGAGAACTTGCTGTTGGGGTCGATTTTGCATTCCCTCTTCCCCCCTTGCGCCTCTTGCTCGGTTTTTGGGAGTCTGTATTGTTGTAAGATTTGGGCCAGATCCAACTGTTCGATGTGTGAGACCCTTGGTTGGCTACCTCTTCCAATTTGGCGCCGTAGCGTTCAGCAAAAAAGTCTGACAATTCCTGTTCCTTTTCTAGGATTTCGTATTGGTTGTCTGTGGGGAACAGATTGCTCAGCGTTTGCTGCGTCGGGTTGAAGTTCTGCAGATTGAAGATATGTTTTTTGTGTGCGATCCTGATTTCAAATTCAATTTCTCTTTCTCTTTCCAGCCCCTTGACATATTTCGAAAGCCAATTGAGCGAGTCCTCCTGATCTTCTTCCCCTGTTATATCTGTTGCGTCTTGGTTCGTACCCATGTGAGAGTCTCCCTCTGCAGATTCTTGCGACATGTTGTCGTCTGTTTTCCTTTCGTCCACTTCCTCCTTTTCTTCTCCTTCTCCTTGTTCTCCTCTTCCTTCCGGAATGTCTGTTTCATCTCCTTCTTTCATCATTTCTTCTCCTTCTTTACTGCCTCCTTCCTTAGTCCCTCGCTGTTTTTTCCCTTTGTTGGCTGCATCTCCCACTGTTCCCTCTTCGTTGTCTCCTTGACCTTCATCCGTCTCAGCTTCCATCTCTTCAGTTGCTGTGACAGGGCCTCTAGGCTTGCTGCTTTTGTCTTGTGATGTGCTGTGTCGGTGAGTTTGGGGAGGGTTGATTCGCTTTTCTTTTGAGCTTCTTATTTGAGCCGTTGGTTGTGCTTTCCTTCTGTGGTATCTGGGAGTCTTTGGTGCCTTGCGAGGAGTTCTGAGTTTTGGAAGATTGAAGGATCTTTCCTCTTRCCTGTAAGTTCTCGAAGAATGCTTTTTCTGYTGAGCTGCCTGTTTTGATCAGTTCTTGCAGGGTGTCTTTCCTGTGTTTGTCTTCCATAATCCCCTGCGTGTCCAGAATTGGCTTTTTCRGGAAACCCCCTTCTTTATCCTCAATCTTCCTYGCCCCCTTTGTTTGCCATTGGCTGCCATGTKGAGGGTAAAYGTCGGGTTGAACCRATGGTTCGGTCTGTAGTGTCCACACCCATTTTGGGTCTTTCAGYCTGTCATCGAAGACCCAACCTCTGTAGGTGGGGTCGTCAACAAACCACAGGCCTGACATTGCTTCGCACTCGACCAGGTTCGCTTGGATTTGGCCTGGTTTCCCTGCTCTGTCCCTGTTGAGTGGGCAATTTCTGTCTGTGCCCAGATGACCTTTCCCTCTGCACCTGAAACAACGTGGATTGGATTTGGTGGAGAGGAATACTGTCAATTTCTGACCATTCGGTTTTTGGAACAGCCAGGTGTCTGGGAACTGTGGCGGGATGCCTGAGGGAACCTCGAGACATGCAATCCTGGAATCATGGTTGGGTGCTAAGAATTCAGGACCTGAAGCCAGCCATTCGATAACAGGGTTGTTTGGGTAGGCCTTTGCCAATCTGTGTTCCACAAGGCCGTGCAGTCCTTCTGCGATGTTATCAAACTGGATCCAAAAATGATTCCGCAACATGGTTTGCCTGTTTCGAGGCATCAGGCTGCGGTGCTCGTCTGGGTTTCCAATTTGTGACGGTGACCACTCCTTTCCTGCACTTGAGACTGTTTAAGGCTATCAGATAGTGTGCATAAGCCTTATCTGGAGTAATTATCATGACTGTGTTGCGCGCTCGCTTGTGGTAGGTGACGTCTGGTTCCGTGCCCGGGATTTCTTCTAGGGACCTGAGAGTGTCCCGAACCCAAGTTCTTTTTTCATTTGGGGACATGTCTGCGCATTTCTGAGGAAAGTTAAAGAGAACTGCGTGCTTGTTAAAAACTTCTTCACAGTTTGTTTCGTCCTCTTCCGGATATTCCCAAATCTCCACTTGCTCTTCTCCTTCTCCCTCATCTGATGGGATCGTTTGTTTGATGATGTTCACCTTGGATTTGATCCGCGTGCTTGATATGAGGAATTCCATAGCTTTTTGGCCTAGTGATTTGGAGGCTGAGTCCGCTGTTGAAGATTGTGGACCTTTCTGTGAGCCATCCAGTGGGTGTGTTTGAGTTCCGGTTACTGGGTTTGGTTGTACGTGCRGCTGTCCTCCTGGGATGGGTTCATTCCTCGGGTACGTGGGACTTGCTGGTTTCTGGGGYGCGGKTCCTTTCCCCAGTGCTTCTGCGTATGAGATTGCCATGTTGTGCGTGGGGTCAGATTGCGTTGTCTTGTCTCTTGTGTCGATCGTTGGTCGCTGTCTTTGTTTGGAGAGAAACGACGTGCAGTTTGTCCGATTCGGGATCAGAAGTGGGAATATTCGTGATCAGAAGAGGGAATAATCCCAAGGATTGGCCAGCGTATACACGCTCTTCTTGGGGGGGGGGGGGGGGGGGGGGGGGGGGGGGGAAAGGTTTGAGGACGGCAATTAAAAATCCTCTTCTCTGAGAGTGGGGACGTCCTTACTCCGTTTGGGGGGAAGGATTTATTAAAGAATTGGACAATTTAAAGAATGTGTGGATCGAATCTTTCCACGGGTTTGCAGTATTAGGCTGTTCGCCTATAATAATAATAATAAATAATAATAACGTTGTGCAGAATGTCTGCCCGATAAAAAATAATGGTTAATGATTACTTTATTCCCAATATTTTGGGAAAAGGATTTGGGGAAAAKAATTTCGGAGTTGGCACTGTGAGAATGTGACACGCTGCTCCTTTCGACGTGTAGGGCAATTATGCTGTTTGTTCGCCCTATCGAAATATGAGAATACTACACGGGGAGAAGGAGACAGTTTGGCGGTGAGCCGCTTACTAATCTAGGTTAGGGGGGCAGYACYGGGTGTTRGGTGTGTGGAGAATTTGGGTTGTCGTCCAGGAGGCTGGGAGGTGATGGTGGKTCTAGGAGGTGTGGGTGGGCGGTTGGCGGGTGGGCGAGGGGACTGGGGATGGGAGAGGGGGGCGGTTTGGGTGGATTAGCGGAGGGATGGCGTTGAGCGACGGTGAGAGGGGTGGGGTGGAGATTGAATTTTAGCGGGGCCGTAGRGCGGGGKTCAGTTTGTGTGTAGGTGTGGGTGGGAGGTGGGAGGAGTGGGAGTGGGGTGGGGATGGAGTGGGATGGAGTGGGAGGGCGGGGAGGATGTGTTGGGGAATAGTGACTGCTGTGCTTGTGTCGCGTAGTGAGTGAATGGGGGTCGATCTTCTCAAGTACCTGGGTTGTGTTCGTTCGTGGGGTTGTCGTGTTCTCTGCGCTGTTTCTGTTTCCTTTCTGAACAGTCTCCTCGTTAGTACTCGTGAGCGTCTAAAGGTAGGATATCGTTTCTTTGCCTCACTTTCTGTGTTCTCTAGTTCAGCAGTGTCCTCTTGTGCTTAGTGCCGGTGTGGAAAAACTAAGTCGAAGTAGGAGGCTACAGTGACGGACTGGGTCGGAATAGGACGCTGCCGTGGTGCGTGCACTGTTCCTCCGCCGGAAATTTTACCGGTTTTGGTTACTAAAAACGGAGGAAATGATGATCTTGGCTCGTCCTGTTGTACGTTGTCTCTTCTTGAAAAAAGGAGCGCCTGCTTTGGCTCGTCCTGTTGTACGTTGTCTCTTCTTGAAAAAAGGAGCGCCTGGCTGATGATGACTCCCTGGCCTGGATTCTTGAACCGTGCGTAGGCTCTTTAGGTTCTTCTGTCCTCTCTTCCTTCGATTGTCGCGGCGGGGTACAGTGAACGATCTTACCTTGCGTTCTCTTTGAGTTAATTTGTCTTGTTCTGACGTTCCTCTGCTTCAGTATACGACGCCTTCCTCCTTTGTTCCCCTTGGTTCCTGTCTTCGGTCCTGCGGTCCCCTCCTCTGTTACGTTCCTCCGTCTCGTTTGCCTCTTCTTTGCGTGGTAGGGTCTGTCTTTTCTTCTCGCCTTTGGACTACCTCTCCTTCCCACCTTTCGTCTCTTYCCTCTTTGTTCTCACCGACCCTCTGCTTCTTCCTCCGCTCTWTAGCTTCGTTTGTTAGGAGCGTGATGCCACGCYCTCGGGCRTGGCGAAGTATGCCACGTGGATACTAGTTACTCGCCCCTGAKGTGTTTTGCCATTCGAATCAGATTCACCTCCTGTCCCTTCCTGATCTTYGAAGARACTCGCTTTATTCACCCCTTGACCTTGTTTTCGACTTCCTCTTTCTTCTCCTTCCTTCCCTCTCCCTCTCTTTCTTTCCCTCTCTTGCTCGCTTGTAATTGTTTGTCCCGCTACGAGATCGAGTCGGCCACTCCCGAGGGCGTGGCGTGACGAGGCTTCACGAGTTTCTCCCTCGCATCCCTCACTCCCTCACGTTTGATTCGAATTGGGATGAAAGCGCGCGAATCTGCGTGCGCGGCGAATTCTCGCCTGGCTTGCTGCGGGCGCGAAAGTTCGCGGTGCTTCTGGCCCAGGGCAAGGCGGATCGGTCCAGCGCTCACCGGACGGCGCTAGCGCTGCCACTCTCGGGGGGTCAAGAAGCTCGTAGCACAGTGTCACTTAGTCAGTAACTCGACTAAATCTGGACGTGTTTGTGGAGAGGTGCAGAAAATCGGCACTTGTCTGCTTTTCTGCATCACTGCTTAAAACCCATCCAGATTCGAGCGCTTAATCCAGTCCTCTTTGCCAGTGGCACCTGGCCCCTGCCAATTCCATGCCAATTCGCAACCACATCACCAGAAGACCTAAAATTTCTATCTGATGAAAGGCGGTTTCCCTGTGCAGACCCCAAATCCGAATTTCTGGGTCAAGGTCCCCAAGTCAATAGAGGCCGACAGGCCAAAACTGAAAAGATGTCATGCCGGGTACCCAGAGGTGGAGTCCAACCGGTACCCGAAGTCAAGTCGAGTCCCACAGTCCAAAATGCAGCAGCGCTCCAGAGAAAAGCCTGGAAGATACTGGCCCAATATCCCAAAAGCAAACAGGGCGTCGGCGTCCTCTACCAGCAAAGTCAAGCCCAGACCAAGTCAAGCAGAGGCCAGTCAATAAAGGTTCCATTCCAAGTCAATAAGAAGACTGACCCAGCCTCAGTCAGACAGATTGCTCATTCGCGAGAAGGTGGAAGCTCTGTTGGTGCTTGTGCGCTATCGTGAGTCACAGAGCGCTAAGGAGCCCTGCTGGGCAGTGCTATGCTGTGGTAGACAGGCGGCCATAGCCACAAGTAGTAGTAGAGGTAGAGCATGAATAGAAGGCGGATGTATCCAGGGTTATGATACTCGTAGTAGCAGAGACAGA